GCAGGCAAATGGGAGTCAAGGTGCACACATTTATTCCATGCATGGGGGCAAATGGGGGCCAGTATGCAGCTTTCAGGAATGAGGGGGCCTTGGACACACAGATGGGGCCTGGGGCCCTCTCTGGGGAGGGCACCCTCCTCTCCTATTATGGGAGCCCACATGCACAGTTGGTTCCTGCAGGTTCCTACAGGAAATCTGCCATTCAGGAGTTCAGGGAAAGCCTCTCCCTGTACTTGCTGTTTTTCAAGCCACTTCAGCTCAAAATAATCAATTGCCCTGAATGGCAGCTTGGGGCAGCTCATCCTGACCTGCCTGTGCTGGGGATGCCACCCTTGGTCCAGGGTCTGTTGGCTCCCGGCGCTCACATGTGTCTTGGATGCGCCTGGCAGAGGCTGGTGCACACAGCCCTCATCAAACAGGCTCCAAGCCAAGGGCTTCCTGCATCCCATGGGCAGAGGTCGCATATTCCACCAGATGGGAGCAGAAGCCAGGAGACAGCTGGGCAGGAAACCTCCTCCAGGAGGTGTGGGGCAGCTAGGGGGTGGGGAAAGCAGCGGCTCACAGACCTGGTACACAGCATCAGGGGTTAGAGCCAAAGCTTTCCTTTTACCCCAACACAGCTCTGAGGGCCAGGACAGAGTGCACTGCCTAGGACAAGGAGCCTCACACACAGCTATGCCTGTCAGGTCATCCCTTCATTCAAGGGTGACAGCAGCTCACTACCACAGAGGATGCTGGGGTAACTGAACCAGAACCACCTCTTTCAAACAAGGAGGCTCCCAGAGGGCACTTTTAGCACTACTTGGCATTAGCTCACGTGCTAGCAGAGATGCGAGCCCAGATGCCACCAGATACGGCCAGCGGGCCAGTTTCCCACCAGTTCTGGCCTCTTCTCACCAAAGGAGTACTGAGAGGGGAGGGAGGACAGACTTCAGAACATTCTCCAGATTCTCTAGGAGGTTGGCCATGGAAGCAGGTTTTCTAGAGGCTTTTTTTTTTTTAAACAAACAAAAATGCCCAGTTATTTTTCAATGTACAGATCTGTGTCAGGGTATATAGGGGGGTGGTTTCTCCCCTGGGAGGAAACAGGTTGATGCATAGCATGGTGGTGTGACCTGGGGAGGAGGCTGGAGGCTGGAGCCCGATTGGGAGGGAGGCTGCCCATCCTGGCACAGAGGCATGGCCGGAAAGCCGCTGCAGGGCTGCAACAAACAGAGAGGAGTCTGATCAGCAGCTGCAACTCACCCTGCAGAACCCTGCCTGACCCAGCACCCTCCTAGAGGGAACTGCCCAGCCTGGGTGAGGCCGGGAGAGCAGGTGGCAGTTCCACTGGACTGAGGCCTTGTTGGCACAAACTCAGGATCAAGGTCCCACGGGGAGACCCTAGGGAGAGTTTGCCCAGCACACCAGGACTGACAGGACCCTCAGGCTGCTAGCCTGTAGCCCAACTTCAACACCAATGTCACATTTTAGGAAAACCCCCAAAGCATCACTATATCCAGCAAAGTGGGATGGTTAACTCTGCATCAACTTAGCTGTGCCATGCAATGACCAGATGAGTGGTCAAGTGCTGATCTGGATGTTGCTATGAAGGCATCTTTCAAATAAGGTCAGTGTTTACATCAGTCAGTTTTAACTAAAGCAGGAAGCCCTCCCCAAAAGGGGCCTCATTTACCCACTGAAGGTCTTAATAGCAAAAGAGATCCCCAGGAGGAGGGATTTCAGCCCTGCGGCATTGACTCTCCTTGGACTGTAGCCACTGGCCCTGAGGCTTCAACCTGCAGCCCCCAGTGCATAGAGTCACTCACAGTCAGCATCTCTCTCACACATGTATGCACATGTATCCCCCACTGGCTCTTCTTTTCTGGAGAGCCCTAATATATATAGATTCACTCAAGTGCTTCTGAGATAAGAAAAATGTTGGAAAATGGTACAATATTTAAATCAATAAAAGTTCCAGTCTATCTCCATCTGCCAATAAATTTTTAATTTTTTTCATTATTCCCCTTATGTTTGAGGGGTTAAAAACACCTTCCTAAAAATTAATATTTAAATAAAGAAAGAAAACATAAAAGCTCCCTCCATCACATAACTCAGGATAAGTTTTTTAAATTCTGATCTCTCAGATGTGCTTGGGTGGTCCCCTGAGCAGTTGGCCTATCTATCTGTGCCTCTCTCTGATAACTTCCCCATGCAGAAGGGCTGGGCTCCAGCAGGAGCTCTGGCCCCTGAAGGGAGGCATCCATAGGATGTAGCTAAGGCAGTAATGCCACTGGCTCAGCAGGGATGGTGATGTTGTGGGTAACATCCTAGGTCAGTGGCTTGGGGCCCTGGCCTTCACTTACTTCTTTCCTTCAAACTTCTACATCTTTCTGGACATGTGGAGTGAGGGAAAGGGCAACCTTTAGAGAATATTCTTGTGTTGGGAACTCCTGGCTTGACCCCTGTAGTGTCCAGTGTTCTTCACTGTATGCAAGGAACCAAGTGAGTCACAGAGTGAATCCCCTGGAACCACAGAGAAAACGCCCATGATCCAAGGAATAAACCCCCAGGAACCAGGGACTAAGCCCTCAGAAACCACGGAATAAACCCCAGGAATGAGGGAGTAAATTCCCAGGAATAAGGGAGTAAATGCCCCAGGAACCAAGGAATGAATCCCAGGAATCAAAGAGTAAACCCCCAGGAACCACAGAAAAAACCCTAGGAACCATGAATTAAATCCCCAAGAATCACTGAGAAAAGCCCAGGAACCACAAATTAAACCTCCAGGAACCACAAAGTAAATTCCCAAGAACTACAAATTAAACTCATAGGAACCATAGAGAAAACCATAAGGAACCACAGAGTAAACCCCAAGAACCACAAAATAATCCCCCAGGAACCAGGGAGTAAATCCCTAAGAACCATAAAATAAACCCCCCCGGAACCAGATAATAACCCCCCAGGAACCACAGAGTAAACCCCAGGAACCACAGAGTAAACCCCAGGAACCACAGAATAAACCCCCAGGAACCACAAAATAAACTGCTAGGAACCACAGAATAAACCCCCAGGAATGACAGAATAAACCCCCAGGAACCAGAGAGTAAACCCTCAGGAACCACAGTATAAACCCCTAGGAACCACAAAGAAAACTCCCAGGAACCATAGAGCAAACCCCTAGGAAACACAAAATAATCTCCCAGGAACCACAGAGTAAACCCTCAGACCACAAAATAATCCTCCAGGAACCATGGAGTAAACCCCTAGGAACTTTGGAGTAAATCCCCAAGAACCTAGAAATAACCACCCAGGAACCACAGAGTAAAGTCCTAAAAACCACAAAATAAACTCCCAGAAACCATGGAATAAACCCCCAGGGTCCAAGGAGTAAACTTCCAGTAACCACAAACTAAACCCCCAGGAGCAAAGGAGTAAACTCCAAGGAATGAGGGAGTAAACCAGGGAGTAAACCCCAGGAACCAGGGAGTGGACCACCACAACAGACAGGGCCTCATTAGGGATAAGTCCTGCCCATAGGTGACCTTTCAAGAAAGGGATGAGAAATTTCACTGTGTTCTTGTTCACAAAACCCACGGACACCCAATCCTTCCCTGCATTTCATGCTGGGGAAAATGGTTCGATGCAGAGAACATGAATCCATTAAGATTTTCCTTTTTACTAAGAGCTCAAAACAACCTCCCCCCCAGTAGCTATCTCAATCCAGGGAAATTGTTCTGTTCTAAGGAGATAGATATGCCCTGTTCAATGTGTTCAATGTTCAATCAGCCTTCGTGGGGTCTGGTTATTGATACACCCATGTAATTAAGCGCCTATATTTGCTGGCAAAATGGCTGGTGGGGCCATCAAGAAGGCACTAGACTGCCCCCATGAGGAAAAGGAGAGTGTCCCAAGCCCCCAGTGGTGGAAGAGGAGGGCGCAAACCCCCATGGAGCCACGTGGGCTTGTCCATCCCACACCCTACATGTCCAGTGCTGTGAAGGCAGTGGGGCCCTACACCAGCCCACCACAGGGGTCTGCTTCTTTTTCTGCAGGGCAGCCAGCACTCAGGGCACATCAGGTTGAGGTTGGGATGCAGACTCCAGCTGGCCAAGCCCTTCCTTCTCTCAGTCAGAGCTTCCAGACAGACATGGGCACCAGAGATGCTCAAACCAGCCCAAGGTCTCAGGTGCCAGACAGAAGGAAAGGGCTGACAGGATCACTTCTCCCATCTTGGTTCCCTTAGGACATCTAGTGAGGAGGATGAAGACAGACACAGGCTGCACTCTGGGATGCAAGCTCTTGGCACTATGCATTCCCAAGCTGGAGACTGTGTCCAGTGGGAGCCAGACCTCCATGGGAGCACTTGCCAAGCCCAGCATCCATGCAGACAGTCCTGCACGTGGGTCTTGAGTTCTGGGCTTCACAAACTTCCCACAGAGGATGAGAGGGCAGAATAGAGGCTCCTTGGACAAGGCTGAAGCCCTAGGGTCATACTCTCATGGCCATCCCTGGAGCAGGGTGGGGAGACAAAGGCTATGGAGCTCAGTCATATGCAGCATCGCTCAGATACATCAGTCCACAGAGTGGCCAACAGGGTCACTTCCTGACCCAGGGACAGCTCCTTCCTGAGTTAGAGAAACAGGACTGGCCTGTAGTACCCACACTGAGGGGACCTGGGCACTGCCTGTGAATAGTCACTCCGTAGGACCATACAGGCCCTCCTACCTTGCAGTGGGCCCCTCTGACAGGTATGCAGGATCCAGGGCCTGGCTTACACCTGGCCACTGAAGCCTGGGGAGCTCCAGGCCCTTCTGTGACAGTCACACAATGGGTACACACCTCCTCAAAGGCAAGGCCTCGCCTCCTGCCCTCATTATTCTCCCTGGGGACACCTGAAGACCTATGTGACTTCAAAGCAAATAAACCCACCATGCTCTTCCTGGCTGGAAAGGGGCACCTGGGCCTGTGTGGATCAGGCTCTGCCTTGCAGACATTGGTAGGCCCAGAACCACCTGGGCTCACAGCTGGGGAGCTCCTGTGCCCAGGGTGCCCTGCAGAGGGGTTGGCCAGAGCACTGAAGTGTCAGGTGACGGTGCATCTGGAGTCCAGAGCAAAGCTGGACCATCAGGGTCTGTCTGCCTGGCCCTGGACTGGGACTTCCTGGCACAAGAGCAGCTGAACCCTGGCATGGCCCCAGGGCCCGAGCCAAGGCTTCTGTAGGATCAGGTAACCCCTCCCTGAATAGACCCCAAGGTCAACAGCATTATAAAAGCTGAACCCTAAAACATCACCATTTTTGTAAGTAAAATGTTGGATCTTAGCAAACCCATAGGGCTCTACCTAAATAACTGCTGTGCTCATGAACATGTTGCCACCAGGCCTCTGGAGTCCCCACTAACCCCGGTAGGAAGCAGCCCCAAGCCTGCGGGGCATCCATGCATTAGGAGAGCCAGGGGCTGTGGAGCACCCACACGACCCCTAGCCCATGAGCACAAAGACCCACCAGATGCTGTTTGGAGTGCCAGGCATCCCTGCGAGGAAGCCATGCCCTGAGGGCAGATTGTCACCCCCAGCTCCCCACTCCCAAAAGCAGCAGGGGCTACAGGCCCACAGCCTCATGACCCACCCCTCCTGTGCCCTACCTGCAGGGGCAGGGGGTAGGAGGAGCAAGTTGGGATGGTGGCGGCCGGCTGGCAGAAACCTGTATAGGCCAGGACCTGCTGGGCAGGGCTGTACAGGATCTGAGGTGGGGTGGACGGGCCAAGAGCCAGCTGGGACAGAGGCACCTGCTGCAGGACAGAAGACAGGTAGGTGGTCACAGGTGGTGTAGCTGCCTTCATGCCTACCCCCTTGTCCACAAGCCCCACTCTGGAGACCCCTATTCCAGCCAGGTAAGGAGCACAAGTCCTCCCTGTGCAGGTCTTAGAGGAGGGTCTCAGCATCTTGGACACCAGTTGTCATCTAGGCTAGCTGATCTGGCTTTGGCTTTCTACCCCACTGCCTAAAGCAGCAGGGGAGTGTTTGTCCCTGAGACCCACAGGAGACCAGTCACGAGATGACAACTGGCTCAGGATCCTTGGTTTTTGGAAAAAGCAAGGAAACTGTTCCCAGAGCTGGTCAGGCTGGGTAGCTCTGGGCTACTCCCCAACCTGCTGGCTCAATGGCACAGCCTCAAGAGCACAAGGACTCCCAGAGGAAAAGTCAGACCAGGGCATTGCCAATGCCTCGGGTCCTGCTAGGGCAGTTATAATTCTCAGAAAGACATGAAACGTGGCTGTGGCTCCTAGTCTCCCAGACCAAAGGTACTGTCTGTGCCGGCTAAGGGGTGTGGGTTAGAGGGGTGCAGGGCAGAGGGGATCACTCCCACCTCTCCCTGCCTTTGGGAGAGCCATGCAGGGCAGGGGGCAAAAAGGGGGTTGAGATGGAGGATGCAGCCTGGGGCCAAGTATACAGAACCAGCGAGGACATGTAGTGAGCCTTGGGGGACCATGTGGAGACCTAGAGCACAAACACTTTGAGAGAACGAGGGGCTGGATGCATCTTGGGGAGGCCTAGACTGAGTTACTGAAATAGCCAATGACCAAGACTCCAGAACAACTGGGGCAGCAGAAATCTCTGGGAAGCATTCTGGCTGCCATATCATGAGCTGCAGCCCAGGGAGGGCACCATGGTCTGTGGGATTGATTTGTATTCCTCAGGGGGCCGCCCCCACCCCTGGTTGTACACTTGCTTACATCGCTTCTCTAGGTTCAGGGGTAGGTCTTCCAAAGGGAAGAGCCTTGAGAATGTCTAACTTGGAACAAGCAGATGGATGTGAAAAGGAGGATCTGGGTGGCCACACACAGGGGCAGTGCCTGAGACATCCATGGCACAGGGCTGTCCCCACAGTAAGCTGCCAGCAAGCTCAACTGCCACCTTAGCACCCCGAGAACCTGTCTCACCCACCCCAGGACACGTGGACCCAGGACTCTGACCCACACTGAGGGCACCACTCACCATGTCCTTAAAGGCCCCCAGGACAGCAGCTGTGACAATGCCCAGGAGCAGGCCCAGGACATTCAGAAGTGCTGAGGCCCAGAGCAGGCGGTAGAGGTGGACCACATCCTTACAGCTACGCACACCGACAAACTCATAGTAGGCGGGTGAGGACTCCATGCTGCACAGTGCGGGGAGAATAGCGTTAATGGCCCCGACTACGAAAGCAGCTGTTGGCTGACCTCACCTCGCATGTTACACATTGACCTGCTGACCTCACAACCTGAGCCACACAGGGCTGGGCCTGGGAAACCCTCCTGGGATAGCCTCTGAATAAGACGGACTTTATCCTTGGTCCCCAGATCCCTGAGGCCCAGCTCCAAGGCACATCTGTGTCTGAGGCACGCAGTTGCCCTCAGAGAGTCTCATTATACACCAGGCAGAAGCCACAGCCATGCCCATGCCACTTCCCTGGTCAATGGAGCTAGACCATGAGGTCCCAGGAAGTGATGCTGGCTGCATCTTTGGGGTAGGCAGAGCACAACAGTTGGCTCCCATACAGACCTGAGCCTCCTGGCCAGGCCGGCCTGGCAGGGGGCTCACTGGAGGGATCCTTTCCGCCCTCAGCACGAGGCCTGGGTCAATGGCATCCTCAGGTCTACAGCTTAGCACCTGAGGACCCATGGCGCATGCTGTCCTGCCCATTTGGCTTGGGGCTGGGAGTGCCCTCCTCCTGGGGAAGAAGGTGAATGGAGCTCCTGAAAGAGCTCCCCAAGAATTATTAGGCTTCCACTGGTTTTATATGTAGGTGCCCAAGCTATTAATAAAACTGTAATTTAAAGACAGCTTCTTCTTGGTCTCTAGACCCAGTCTTGGCTATTCCTGCAACATGGAGAATGCCAGCACCTTACTGCTCACTGGTCATGCATAGTCTGCCCATCTGCAGAGCCAGGCTCAGGCCTTGCCCAGACCCCACCTGCCTGGAGGACAGGGACACAGGGCAGGGCTGCCCATCACTAAAGCCCAATGCTTCCAGAAGATCTGGCCCTCCTAAAGCCCACCAGCTCCCAGGGAGCTGCCCCTCACTAAAGTCCCCTCCTGGGGGCTACCCCAGAGATTTGCAAAGTGTTTTCAGCAGCACAGCAAGTGTCATGTAGCCTTCCTCAGCCTGGAGAGGGACTGGCCATGGTTGGGGGGCTCAAGTGAGCTCTCAAACAGCATAGTCAGGAGAGGAAGGGCCCCTGCACATGCCCCTCTTCTGGCCCTGGCCCTGCATAGACCCTCTGTCCGCCTCTGCACCCGGGTCTATTTAGCAGACCCTAAACATGCCCTCTGCTGTCCCCCCAGTTCCCACACTCTCTGTGGGTCTCCCTTGCCTCCCACACACACCCTTTGTGCCCATCCCCTCTGCTGGCCATGCCCACACATGCCCTGCCAGGCAGCTACGCCCTTGCACATACCCTCTGCCTGTCCTTTCCCTGCCACAGGCCCTCTGAAGTCCCCATACACACACTCTCTGTGGGTCTCCCACTCTTCTGCACATACCCTCTGCGGTCCCCCCCCCATACACACCCTCTGTGTCACACCCCACAAACACACATACTCTGCGCTCCCCTCCCCCCTCACTGTCCCCTCACCTCTCACAAGTGTACAGGTCACAGCAGTAGCAAGTGTTGCTTCTCACCTTCAGCTGACACTTGCCGTTCAAGGAATGACAGGTGACCTGGGAACAGAGGGTCAGGTAACCCAAGGGCCCACCACGTCCTCACCAGCATGGCCAGGACTACCTTGTGAGAACAGAAATGGGCATGCAGGACCCTTCCCTTCAGGAGGATTCAGGCTCAGCCCCAAAGAGAGAGAACAAGGGAGGCAGGCTGGTCTCAGAAGGTCCAAAAAACAGGGCTCAGGAGGAGACAGAGCTTCTTTTTGAAGCAGAAAGAAGCCAGCCTCCATCAAGACAAAACCCCTGGCACGTGAAAGGAAGAACCCACAGGCCAGGACTGCGCAGAGGCCTAGAGCGCTCAGCACACATTGGAACAGGAGGTACCCAAGGGCTCCCTCCAGCCAGGCCTTAGTGCAGGGCAGCCTTAGAGAAGACCCTTGCCACCTCCTGGAGAAAGGCCATAGGAAGGCCCAGCCACAAGGACACTCAGGGCCCTGTGCTATATCAAGTGCCTCTTCTCGGCATCATCCAACGCACTTGACAACCTCCCAGTGGTTCGTGCAGAATCCCAGAACAAGCCGAAGGGGCTATGAACCATGGAGTTTGCCGTCTAGTTCCCCCCCTCCTTAGACATTTATGCTCAAAGTGAGATGCAATGTTTAAATGGACAAATCTACACAGCTGGCATGCCAGCCAGAGCCAGCCAAGTAGAGCCAGTGTTGTCTGGGATGGTCCCAGAGATGGCACGTACCATCATGCATGGTGCTACTCCTGACACTTCACCCACCTAGAGACAGAATGAAGTTGGGCTGCACCTGCCCTTGGCCCAGGGAAAGCCAGAGTTTCTCTGGCAGTGTAAATATATTATCCTAGCTTTCTATTGCAATTATTAGGTCAGTAAAACAAGCTAATTGGAATAGTCGCACAGACCTGGACAAATAAATTCTGAAACTATTTTGTGTCAAAGAAGCTAGCCTGTAGCTATGATCCAAAGTGAACACAGTACATTAAAATGGCAAGGCTAGCTCAAAATGAACTGTGAGCTATAAATGCCACCACCCCTGGGGGTGGGACATGACAAAAAGAACTATTAGAACCAAACATTCAGACTTTGATTAGGGACACAGAAAACCTTGCAGGGTCAGTAGAGTTAGCTGAGTAAAACCCAAATGCACCAAGCAGTGCTCATGCTTACCTCTGTCTGGTAGACGTCAGAGAAGTATCCTACCCCACTAGAGTAAAACTGGCATCTCTCTGTGGTGAGGGGGCCTGGTTCCTAGAGAAATGGACAAACATAGATGAGACAAAAGGGTCAGCTCCAGTCAGGGGTAGCCAAGAGTGGCTTCAGGTCTGTCTGCCCCAGACTCACAGCCTAAAGGACAAAGCCAACACCAATGCAAACCTTCTAGCCAAAGAACACAAAGCAGGAGATTGCACAGCTCCTTCCAGGGCAGGTGGGCTCCTGCATCCAGGACTCAGGTTTGCAGAAAGGAGGGGTACCCTCAGTCCTTCATGCTGGCTTAACATGTTTTTTCCATTGATCACCACAGAGGATCAGAAAGGAGGTACCTGCTTGACCTTCTGAGGGGTACCCCTATAAACCCACATGACAGTTACCTGGACTCCTGTCTCTTTTCCTAAAATAAAACAATTTCTTCCTGCTAGGAAGATAGCAAGAAGGATTTCAAACCAATTAAAGCATCCATCCAACCAGCCAATCATCCACCCACCTACACATTCAGTCATTCATTCATCTATACATCCATCCACCCTTCCATTCATCCATCTACTGACCCATCACCCACCCATCCATCCATCCATCCATCCATCCATCCTTCCATCTATCATCCATCATTCATCCAACCATCTATCCATCATCCATCCATCCCTCATCCCTCCATCCATCATCCACCCATCATCCATCCATCCATCATCCATCCATCTATCCATACTTCCACCCATCTGTCATCCATCCATCCATCCATCCATCCATCCATACTTTCATCATCCATCCATCATCCATCCATCCATCCTTCCATCCATCTATACTTCCATCCATCAATCATCCATCCATCCATCCTTCCATCCAACCATCCAGCATCCATCCATTCATCCTTCCATCCATCCATCCTTCCATCTATCATCCATCATTCATCCAACCATCTATCCATCATCCATCCATCCCTCATCCCTCTATCTATACTTCCATCCCTCATCCATCCATTCATCATCCATCCACCCATCATCCATCCATCCATCATCCATCCATCTATCCATACTTCCACCCATCTGTCATCTATCCATTCATCCATTCATCCGTCCATACTTCCATCATCCATCCATCCATCCATTATCCATCCATCCCTCATCCATCCATCCATCATCCACCCATCATCCATCCATCCATCTATCCATACTTCCATCCATCGGTCATCCATCCATTCATCCATCCATCCATCCATACTTTCATCATCCACCCATCATCCATCCATCCATCCTTCCATCCATCCATCCATCCATCATCCATCCATCCATCCGTCCTTCCATCCATCCATCCATCATCCATCCATCCATCCTTCCTTCCATCATCCATCCATGCATCCATCCTTCCATCCATCATCTATCCATCCATCCATCCATCATCCATCCTTCCATCATCCATCCTTCCATCATCCATTCTTCTATCATTCATCCATCTATCCATCCACCATCTATCCTTCCAACCACGTAAGTGTACACCTATCAATGGAGCCAACGCAATGTGAAATTATAAGGATAAAAAGATAAGACACAGTTCTTGCCCTTAGGAGATTTATAGATTAGTGAAGGAGACAGACCAATAAGCTGACAGTTACAAAGTGCCTGTGATTGCTACCGTATAGAACAGCTAGACACACCAAAAAACTGTAAGATGCCATGATATCGTGTAGTCTGCAAAGTGATTTAGGGTCTCCGCACCCTTACTGAGTTTTATTACTGCATTGTCACAGTTCTCAAAGCACTCCTATTTCTCATTTAACTATGTAAAAAATATGAGCAACCTACCAACAGGTGAACAGGCATTCCTTGATTCACTTGGGCAACAGCTGGATAGAGGGCTGAGATGAGTTCTAGGTGGACACAGCCATGGACAGAGCCAAGCCTCTGTCTGTGAGGTGTATCTGCCTAGAGAGACAGAAGCTGGCCCTCAGGCAAAACGGGAGCAACACAGCAGATGGCAGCTGGGATGTGGAGATGAGGGATTTCTGGAACCTGATTTTCAGGTCTTTCAGGTGACACCTCACCATAGCCTGACACCAGCCTGGCAAGCAGGGCCAGCTAACCTCAGACAGAAGCAGTATATGGGCTGGACACTGAAGCACAGGGCTGGGCAGGGATGAGGGGGAAAGCAGGACCTATGACATGGAGGGGCAGCCACACATAGCTCCCTGAGCCTCCATGCTAGGCTCATACCCTCAGCCCAGGACTAAGCAAGGCAGCGGGCACAGGAGCCTAACCACCTCTACCTAGCACGGCCTTGCATTGGCCAGCAGACATGCAGCCAGGCCGGCTCCCAGCTGATGGCTTCTCCTGCCTGTCCTCTGGCCCTGTGTCTCCCACAGGCACTCCCCCAATAAACCTTTCACGCTCCTAGCTCCACTTCATGCCTCCTTCTAGGACTGGCGAGGGCTGTGACCCATCCACACCAGCAACCACAGGATGAGGACAGGCCAGGAGAGGGTGAGGGCACTCCAGGAAAAAAATCATCTAGCCCAGTTTCTGGACCTGAGTCCCCTGGGAATTACTGATAAAAGTGACCAGGACCCAGAGGAGGGAGTCCCTGACCTCACAGGGCATCTGCTGTGACACCGCCTCACTCCTCCCCAACTCAGGTGGCTAAGAGAAAGGGCATTCAGATACCCCAAGGCTGCCAGACAGAAACCATTGCGTGCCTTGTGACAGATGGGCTCGTGGTGGGATCAAGGCCTAGCTGAAGGCTGACATGTGCAGTCAGAGCCCGCCATGCCTGCAAGGACGAGCAGGAATACGTTCCCTGCCCAGCCTGGCCACAGTCATCAGAAACAGTTCTGAACCCCTGGCTGGGGGCAAGGAGGATGGCTACCCTTAGAGCCTTGAGGTCCCGCCCCACCCCAGTGGCACGTGGTTGGTGTCAGGAGCTGTGGCTGTGATGGACCAGCAGCAGGAACACCCAGATGCCACTGCAAATGTCCCCAAACTGTGACTACTGCCAGGGCCCCTAGAGCTTCTTACATCCTGAGGTTGGCAGAGGAGGCAATGCTGCCCCCAGTGAGGTGGGGGGGGCACTTGTTCAGGTCCCCCAGGGGCATGGCCACTAGGCCTCTGCCCCTCAGGAATGCAGCCCTGTAGAGGCAGAGCTACAGGGAGAGACAGCCTGCTCTCCTCCACCTTCTGCTGCAGGACTAGACATCGGGGACCAGACTGGAGCTCAGGAGGCGCCTCCACATACACTCTCCCCAGGCCTGATGCAGAGGCCTGGCTGCCCCTGTGGACACCAGCAGTCCAAGCCCCCAAGGTGACTGATTAGGGGGGCAGTGAGTCATGGCCACTTGGGCCCTCAGCCAGGAATCCATGCCAGCCCCAGTTCTGGTCTTCCCTCCCCTCTCTGCATGTTGTCCCCATCAAGGCCTTCATACCAGCTGGCAACTTAGATGTCGGCTTGATGGTGACAAACTCAGGTGACAAAACTCTCCATCCTGGGAACAGTTGCTGTCCTCATGCCTATGGTGTGCAAATGTTCTTTTCAGATGATAACAGATGACTTGCTACGGTCCAGACTCACAGGTTTCCTCTAAGTCACCCTCATGCCCCCGGCCAAGGGCCCACCTTGCCTTCGAGCCCTGGGGCACAGACAGTTCCCACAGTGCCACACTGCACCAGTGACACATGGTATGCTTCCTAATACAGAAGTACCGCTGGACTGGGAAGGAACAGGGCTTGATGTTTCCACTCTGGGTCACTGCTGGTCCCTGTGCTTGTCCAGGAAGAGCAAACTGCCAGGCTCCTGTGAGATATAACATCAGGACACTGGGAGAGTACCACACATATGCGCACACACACGAGACATTCACATGCACACACAGAGGCACACACACACACACACACACACGCACACACGCTTGCCTGCCTGTGCACACATACATGCACAGCGCCCCCTGCCTGCTGGCCCTTGTCTGGAATCCCCTTCCTCATCCATCAGCACTTTGAGATGGTTGACAAGACTGAATGAGAATTTAATGTGCCTTCCATGAAGCACTGGTTTCATAAAATTCACATCTGAGCAATGCGCCTTGCCTGTGAGGGTTCAGGACGAGCTGCCTCACAATATGGCACATGGAATGTGTTAAGCTGAAGGAACGTAAGGCAATGGCAGAAGCAGGGAGGTGCCCACCTCCCCCAACCCCACAGCAGGTCTCAAGCCCCACAGGGGAGGTGCATCCTTGCCACCAACAGCACTGCACTCTGGGCAGACCCCCCCCCGCCACACTGCCCATCAGTCCCACTGTGAGGCACTCATGTCCCTGCAGAGCTTGCTGCCCCTCATATCATAGGAACCGCTGCTTTGCTCTTGTTTGCCTTTGTGTCACGGCCTCAGCCATAGCCCTAGCACAGGGACAGGAGGAATGTTCCCTCTCTTCTAACTCATAAATCAGGCTCAGCCACTGGGGCAAGAGGGCCTAGCCCCTGGTCCCACCTGTTTCACTGGGTCAGGCAAGTGACCAGCGCCTATGGCCTCTCTCTATCCCAAATCCAGCCTCCCTGGAAAGCTCCAGGCCCAGGGGACAGGGAAACTATGGGAAATAGGGGCTGCACCCCCAGGAACTTCCAGCCAAGCTGCAGACAATGCTCTGAGGCAGCAGGCTTCCCGCCCAGCAGGGCCATGGCCTTATGTCCAGAACACTTATGATCAGGAGTGGGCTTTCACAACAACGTGCTATGAAAAGCAGAAACAGTGACTCTCACAACACACCCAGGAAGCGCATCTTGCCAAGGATCAGACTGGCAGGCCCATACTCTGAGTCCCGCCACCCACTCAGCTGCCTCCTGCCTCTCTGAGGAGGGTCCATGGTGTCCCTAGGCCCAGAAGTGGCACCCCACATGCTGGACACTGGCAGCTGAATAGCAGATTTCCCCTCCACAGCCAGGGCTCCCAGGCAGCCTTGTAGACCCTACTCTACCTGTCTCTGCCTCAAAGATAAAAGAGTTAGTCAGTTACAGAGAGGCAGCAGAGACAGGAGTGGGAAGCAGTGTCCACATAGAAATTTTGGCCTATGAGTGGTTTGTGGTGTGTATGTGTGGGGTGTGTGTGGTGTAGTGTGCTGTGTATGTATGTGGTGGGTGTATTGTCTGTGGTTTGTAGTATATGTGTATAT